ACGGTTTGACCACCGGTGGCTTCAGCAAGTCCTGCCCCTTATAAGCTGATCGTTTACTCCCAACAATTTCGGTATTCTGAATCGAACAACGTTCCAGTACTTTTCCACTCCTCCTACATTACTGAAGAAAGGTGACCGCGTGAGGATAGTTCCCGTAATGATGGAAATTCCCTTGTCTTGTAGTTCGTCTAGAGTCTAGAGGTACCCTCACTAGTTTTACAAGCGTCTGAGTCACTCATCTTTATTAAAGAGCATACAATTTCCAAAAGTAGTTTAGCAATTACATTATTTGGAGAACGGTCAAAGTCAGTCTTAGCCGTCTTAATTAGCGCCTAGTTTGTTGAGAGAAGGTGGTGAAATGGTAGCCGATTTACCTATATCATCCGTAGGAAAAATTGAATTAATAATTAACGCTTGTTTTTATAAAATCGCTTATTAAACTACTTCATAAATTAATTACAAAAGATTTGGAATCATGATAAGTTTACAATTATTTATTACCGTTAACACTTTAATAAGTATAAGTACATTCCGTTAAAGTTAGTAAATTCCATTGACAAATTAATAACTGTTATCTCTGTAATAACTCGCAATTAGTAGATCAATATCATGAGTATAACCTCCGTTACTTGCTTAATAGTTGTTTTCTCCTCCCTTATCTCTTTCACCTTTCCGTTTCGATCTCACTTCAGGCTCTTCTCTGGTTTTATTTCGCATTTTTGTCCACTTCCAGTAAATTCTCTTACGTTTTCTGTTTTTCTGCACTGTACCTTCGAGACGTCATTCACACTTTTTTTGACCTACTTTTAACATCACATACACTTTATCTAACTGGAACAAAAACTTCATGGTAGTCAAAATTTACTTATAACCGTCGCATATGGATAGCAATTTCGATTTCATCGGATCTCATTAGAACGCCATTGACAGTTCCACTGGCCAGCATACACTTTTTGTTCTGATTAGTTACATGTGTAGCACGTAGATGTAGTTACGCGAGTATTTAATTCGACGAGTCGACATAATTTAATTCGATAAGTCGATTCAAAATACAATTTAGTTTTTCTTCTAGACTTAGTCTCGTACTTTGTCATAATCTTGTGTGTTACGTCTCGGTCTTACTCAATATTCTTAAGGGGGCGAACATTTTTAAATCCCACTGAAACATAGCAACTTTCTGTAGATCGCTGTGTATGGAAACTTTTTAACTGTTTTTCTCCGGTTCTTTTTCCAACAACATTGATCTAGACTAAACATATATACAACATAGTCTATGCCTTTCTTTTCAATTCCATGAACTCTTTATAATACACCATTCATTTTTTTTGGTCATCATTTACGTTCCCGGCAGCTACATTAAAATCATCCAATTTTTGCAATTTCTAGTGAAACGCGATATAAGAATTATGCGCTGACTTTACTAATAGGTAGGCCCAGTATGATTTTATGAATTTGTTACGTGAAGCAGTGACTTATAGGCTTCCGTACATCAAAAGGATTAAAGGAACCCTTATAGGGTCACAGCGTCATCCGACTGTCTGTCTCTCAAGACTATTTTCTCAGAAATGCGTGAAGGTCTCAAGTTGAAATTATCGAACATTCAGGTATGCCTTGGAGCTATGAAAAATCAAAGTTCTATTGAAACATACGGGCCTCTAAGTTGGATATTTTGACACTCGCAAGGGAATCAAAACCTATACCTACTATACTTTCTGGTTACCAAAAATCATAAAATTTGACAAGTTTACCCTAAAAAGTTGATCATTTACGTATCCTCAATTGAACTGCGCTCTAATATGTTCGCAGACAGCACTTTGCAATCTTTGAGTTACTCCGTACTTGCTACGTCACTGGAGGAAGGCGACCACATGAAGGTACCTTCCGCAGAAATAGAATTTCCCTGCCTTGTGGTTCATCTTACTTGTTTTACAAGTGCTTGAGTCATTCATCTTGGTTAAAAAGCATACGGTGTTCAAAAATAGTTTAGCATTTAAATAATTCGAAAATTCAGTCATAGTCTTAGTCGTCTTAATTAGAACCTAATTTGTTGGGAGAAAGTAGAGAAATGGAAGGTTGGAAGGTGATTTATATCAACCACAGGAAATTTAAATAAATAATTAACGCCCTTAATAAATCAATTATTAAAGATTTGGTATCACCATAATAAGTTTACAATTATTTATTGCCGTTATCACTTTAATAAGTACATATGGAATTTCCGTTAAATTTATTAAAAATTTCCATTTGACGAAATAATAACTCTTATCTTTGTACTGACTCCCAATTAATATATCTATATCAAAAGTAATAATCAACCTTACAATAAAATTTTCAATAATGTTTTTCAAGATAAAATGAATATAAATCTCTGTATCGATTCAACCTCGTCAAAATAAAATCAAAACTAAAGTAAATATTCAAGGTTTTACACTTTTTTGAAAAATAAAATCAAAGTTAACATCTTCATATATAAATATATTGTCAAAATGTTTGTCCGGGACAAACTCTGAAGTTACCTAACCAATTTTTATGAAATTAGGCTAACTGTAAGTAATTTTGTCTAACATAAATGATGGGATAGTTTTTGACCTCAATGGAACAGTGGTTTATAATTATTTGTAATTTCCGCAAATATTGTGACGTGTAGGCAACCGTAAACAACCCAACATACAATGTCACGTGTATGCTACCCAACATGCATAGTGGCAAAGATGACCAGTTTTCTAGACGTCACATTCTGGATTATTCTATATTTTTTTGTTTAGATTATTCTCGAGGAGGGAAAATCTTCAAAAGTCACCCCCTGAAGGGAGGTAGTGTCGGATTTTTACCTACTAAAACCCCTCGAGTGGTATATTTCTAGAACAGTTCCGGTCCTACAAATAGTTGCATAGGATGACAGTATTAGGTCATCGTCATTCAAGTCGAGTTTCGATTGTTGTTAATTGTTGTGTATTGTTTTATACTTGTACTGTGTAATGACACAAATATTCAAAAATCTTGCACTTGGAAAATACGTGTTGGCTAGGGAGATTTTTAAGTCATTTAGAGCATTTTTATAATATATTTAGGCGGGATCTGGACCTATTTTGAGATAGGGGGGAGGGGGGGAACAAAACAAAATGTTGTACTAACCACATTCCAAAAAAAAAAGAAAAGAAAAAAATTCATGGGCCATTTTCTCGTGCGTAAAAAGAAATAGTGCACCCTAGCCCAAATGGAATATCGCCCGACCAAAATTTCTGTCACTATTTTTCCCGGAATACTCCATATTTTAAGTAAATTATACCGTCAAAACCAAACGGATAAGCCTACATTATTTTCGATTCTTCCCTTCCTCTCTCCTTATCTCGAAATGGGCCTAGATTCCTCCTATATATCATATAAAAAAATACTCTAAATTACTTAAAAAGCTGATGTACCACACGGTAAAAGGTTGTGACGACTAGCGCGTCAGCTTACTATGTTTCCCCCATGGGCATCTATATGTCCCCTGCTCACGTATGGGGAACCATCAAATCTATTCATGTTAGCAAAATAAGGGCTAACTCAAAATATAGTGCATCAATCAGCACTTAAATAGATTATTGAAATTTTAGCGTAATATTTCAGTTTTATTCCCTTGGGTTTTTAGATCAGTTAAAACGTTTTGTTAGTGAATTGTAATCAAACTGTATTAAAAAAGTTTAGCATAAGATTCATTCAACGTATTAGAACTAATTAGCCACAGCAGCATGCGGTCGAGTCAGCTAGCAGAGAACTACAAATATTTTATTTTTAAATTAAACCGAAGGGTAATTCTGGCGAGTAATTATCAGTGTAATAGATACTTAAGTCAATTAACATTACAAAGGTCATACAGTAGGTACACAGTTTCTTCTCGTACGTGAAAGATTGCTTTTCGATACCTTAACAAAAATTGATTGCAATGATAACAAAAATTATTGCACTACTTAAATTAATTCACTCAATATAAGATTAAGGGGGAATTTCCCTCTATCGACCTTATATCCCACGTAGAACAGTACAGTGCTCGCTCGTAATTTTGTAATTTTTCATCTAAAAAGAAATCATGAAAGGCCTTGAACTTGACGAGTCCGCAATAAATTATCTGTGAAAATGAACGTATTGTAATGTTCGTGGTTTTAAAAAAATTAACTTCTAAGACTGATAACGACAAAAACTATTTATTTACACTAATTATTGAAGAACTTTTAAACACTATTAAATTATTACTAAACTTAGGTTATGAATTATTCTATTTATTTACACTACTGTTCATATATCACTATTCGCTGCGCTATTCACTTCACTGCTATCACTGTCAATTTATTTCTTGATTCACATCTGCAACGGTCACTTTATATTCTTCTTCTCTCGGCGATCATCTCGTCCTTTATATACTCTTTTGTTTACTTTCGGGAACCTTCTGGAAACATCCGGATAGTTTCATTTTTTCTAACTGTTTTCGCAGAACACACATTTACAAAAAAACGGCGCACATGAAGAAAGGCGCCCGCGGCTAGTTGACGAATCGATAAGCCGTTTACGCACTCGTGTGCCCGATCGCACACAAACATGCTCGTACTCGCTACAGTAATCTACTTTTTTGTTTCCACTTGGGACTGTAGTCATTTACACATACCCCTGTTAAGTTAGACAATTTTTCATTAGTAGTATAAACAAAGTTAAAAGAGACAACCCAATAATAATTCAACGTTCCAACTATGGTAGTCGCATTTATACAAAAAAAAATCAGGATCAGTATTTGAAACGAAATACCTAGGTTTGTTTACGAAGTCAAATTGTACAGCAGGGCATGTTAAATACAGATTAAAATTCATCACATAGTTCGCTCGTGTTTCGAATTTCTTTTGCTCTTTAACTCAAATATTTCAATTCAGAAAATAATATATAAGCATACAAACGACGAATTGGATACGTTAATCAGACTTGAAGTTTTAAGTAGATTTTTGCACTATCCATATTTGTTCATATAGGTTCCAAATACTTTGGAAAATGAGATATCAAGTATGGCCACGAATGGAAGAAAATGCTCAAGCACTCTTCAAAGTTCCACCTCCTGGAATAGAGTTTACTTTACCCTCCCCAAAAATAGGAATAGAAAGCTTAGACGTAGTAGATTCTCCTTGGGAATTATGTGTAAAAACAAAAGTTGAAGAAGTTACCATTAATCAAGAAAGACATGTGAGATTTACTTCAGTTTTTAATTCGAAATGCTTTCTGACATGTGCTTTTTTGATGTTAGAGATCTTTAGTTACTGCTACAAAAACGCGTAAGAAGCAACAAACTGAACTAATCAAAAAAGCCTTACAAGCCCAAGATGATAAAAAACGAGAAGAGAGGGAGAATTTCTTAATAACAACGATTCCCATTACCATTCAGGCAGCACGGGAACCAAGTATTTATCACACAGGAGAAGAGCATGATGATGGTAATGGAAAGGTATTGGTTGATTACAAAAATAAAATCTTTTAATTTTTTAGCTTTAGGGGAAGATGAACAAGCAGAAGGACAAACAAGAAATGCTGGACATCACTTACACTCTGCGCATTCCCTGTTTCCTTCGTCATTATGTTCAGCGGTTGTGTTGATAATTAATCTTTTAGATGATGCTGCAGTATCAGCCGATGGTACTGCTGTTTATGAAGTCACTTATCAGGTCATTTGGTGTTGCCTAGTAGAAGATTGTGCATTATTTCTTCGTTACGTTCTCGAAAAACTAACCAGAGAAAAACAGGACCAAATGTTCAAAATTCTCCGACATTTGATTAGATTTATTCCAAAATTACCACAGCAAGCCGCTTTCGCATTGTATAATTACATAATCGGTTATGTGATGTTCTACGTTAGAACTCCTCACGAAGAAGGTCAAAGGTTAATCGGGACGGCTTTATCATTACTTTGGATGGCAAGTTGGATTTTTTAATATCGTCAGTTCCACTAATTTTAAAATGACTGCATTTTAATTTAGGTGGTCCATAGTGTGCATGGAATAATGTTCAAAGATTTAAAGCAAATTTTACGAAAGGAGCAATGCGATGCATCAATTCTTCTAACTGCCAACGTCCCTTCTGCCAAAAAGATTATAGTTCATGGACCTCAAGGTACACGAGCTTTCATAGAAAACAATAATATTATTTCAAAATATCTTAATATTTTGTTACTAGATCCTGACGCTGGAGGCATTCCTTCTCAGTTTCCAGTACAGGAAGATACACAATTTTGCCAGATATTGAGGGAGTCTTTGGATTTCTTTGGCGTTGACGAAGCACGTCATAACGAATTCTTTTTAGTTGATTATAAAACTCGTAAGGCAATTATTTAATTCAACTCTGGTAATTATATCATTCTAAATTTTTAGATCATATTCGAAATTCCAGTGCGTATGTTCGAGATTTCTATTTTTTCAAAAGATCTCAATATCCTCAGCTAGAATTAGTTCATATGCAACCCGAAAACGCATTTAATGCCTTACAAAAGCAAGAGCTAGTTCACAAGTTCGTAGAAATCGGAAAGGTTTTATTAACCTGGGCTATACTCAAAAACGTGGATATGGTATGCAATCACATTCCTAAGAAATGATCTTTGTCTAAAAAAATATTCTCAAAACTGTTTCAGGTCGTTCAAAGGGTCGTTTTCTTGCATGAAGAGTTAATGAAATTACCATCCTTTCCTAGAAAGGCTTTGGAGTCGGACTTAGAATTATATAAGGGAGGTGAAATTGGGAAGGTAGTTAGGAAATGTGTGAAATATAAAATACTTGTAGGTACTTACTAACTTACTTTTAGCAACTTTTGGGTTTGGATGTTCTCCATAAGTTCATGTGGGTTCGCTTAATTGCTAGAATGTTTGAAGCAATGGCTGGAAATTTTGCTTATTCAGGAGACATTCAACTATTTTTAAATGTTCTAAATGGAGCACTAATTTTACATTCGGAAGATTCTTGTATTTTACGCTATGTAACAGCCACCTACATAAATGCTGCGTTTCATTTCAAGAACATCTTTTCTACCAACGGGTAAATATAAAGCATCAGTTAATGCCATTAGTACAATTCGATTTACGACTGCATTTGATTTGAAAACTTAACTAACTTTTTATTTTCTATCGAATTGTGATAATGATGGGTGCCAAAGTGAATACGTGAACAATATAAAAAGTAATAAACAACGAACAATACATTATTCTTGGGATTCCCAATTAATACGAGGGTGGATTGATAAGTTTCCGGCCTAACCAAGAGATGACGCCACTAGGCCTACCTTGAGGTGACATTCTATAGTACCATCCTTGGATAGCTTGTAGCTATAGNGCTTATTCAGGAGACATTCAACTATTTTTAAATGTTCTAAATGGAGCACTAATTTTACATTCGGAAGATTCTTGTATTTTACGCTATGTAACAGCCACCTACATAAATGCTGCGTTTCATTTCAAGAACATCTTTTCTACCAACGGGTAAATATAAAGCATCAGTTAATGCCATTAGTACAATTCGATTTACGACTGCATTTGATTTGAAAACTTAACTAACTTTTTATTTTCTATCGAATTGTGATAATGATGGGTGCCAAAGTGAATACGTGAACAATATAAAAAGTAATAAACAACGAACAATACATTATTCTTGAGATTCCCAATTAATATACCCAAAATTAGCAAATTATCAGAGAATGAACAATTGGTGGAAGTTTTCAAATGTATTATTTGAAACTAATGGAGGAGATTATGTTGAGAAATAAAAAAAAAAATTTTTAAAAACCTTGTTTTTCTTGGTCAGGCCGGAAACTTATCAATCCACCCTCGTATACCCAAAATTAGCAAATTATCAGAGAATGAACAATTGGTGGAAGTTTTCAAATGTATTATTTGAAACTAATGTAGAATTCAACTTTAATAGAGTAAAGACTAATTATTTTTTTAACGATTGTATTTATAATTTTGTAGATATCTGTTAATAATGCCTACGTTATTGAAAATTTATTCAAACCATCAAACGAACAAATTAATCAAAACAACCGTAGAATACGCTGTGAAACAATTCTATTTGATGAATAGAAAACCCTTTATCTTGCAAATGTTTGGATCTGTGTCAGCGATGCTGGATACGGATGAAGATGGAACTTATGGAGATGCTCAAAAAGTAACGTTGTTCTTTTGGGTTTCTTATATTTACGATTTAGAGCGAACGTTAAGGCATATTTCGTTTGGAAAACCCGTTGGATTCATCTTGATTGATGATTTAAATTGAGAAATACCTTACAATTGAAACTGTAGAGTATGCCAGATAAAGCCGGTACTTATAAAAAAAATTTACAATCTTCTCCAAAGTAGATTAGATACAAAAAAAATCGACTAAAGACATAAACATCAATCTGTTGAACTTTACAGGGTTGCTACTAAAAACATTTTTAGTTTGTCATCTTGTCAGAATTTCAGTATTTAAATATTTTTCAAGTTAAATTACCATTTAGAATACATTCGACAGGTTTTCGGAACAAACTGTTCAAGTGAACATATTGATTTTTCTCTTTACAGATCCAGTCCAGTTGTTTGTTTAACTTGCTGCTTAGTTTAGAAACTCCATCGCCTGACCCCCTTAATATAGCCGAATTGGTGAAGGAAGAAAAGCCACTGAAAGCAATTGATTTTTGTTATCATGACGAAAACGAAATGGTTACAATTTTGGATTGTATCTCACTGTGCGTTACTGTAGTTTCTTATGCTTCTGAAAGTGTTAGAGGATATCAGATGCTGGTAATTTGTTTACCTCTACACTTTAGTTTACGATTGATTACGGCGTTTCATCTTGTAGATCATTTTAGAGGCTGTTCTTCCGTGTTACATGGAACATATTCAATTACCCACATACGATAAAGGTGGTAAAACCGAAAGAGAAATTATTCTCCAACTCGCTTGCGCTATCAGAACTTTAGTTAACAATTGTGAAGCTCTTACAAAGTAAGCTGAACATGATACCATTTTAGCTTATGTAGCTTTAATATATTTTTATCATTTTCTTATAATTTATAGAAGTTACAATGGTCCTTATCGTTCAAGTCCAGAGCACAAGAGTTCCAGCCAAAAGAATTACAGTCGCGGACCGTACTCTCCAGGATTTGACTTCGAGGACGAATCACATTCCAAATTCATGAGCGAACATTCGAGAGCCAAGTCGATGTACGAACATAATGTGGAAGATTCTGAAGCCTTACGAGCAGAATACAGAAGACCCAGGGATGTATTGTTATCATTGGTTGGAGAATTTATTTGTAGAGCCAGTTACAGACTTAACGACATTCACAAAAAGAATAACCAAGAGGGAAAAGGCATAGAATTACTGGATGTAAGATCCCACATTGTAAGTCGATACAATTAATTAATACTAATTCTTGATTAATAAAATTATTTTTTTCAGAGACTGACAGATATAGCTCACAGTTTGCTAAAAGTATCCCCATACGATCCAGAATCCATGGGTTGCAGAGGATTGCAGCATTACATGAACTACATTTTGCCATCTACGGAATGGGCTAACGATGCCATGAGGCCAGCATTAGTGACGATCTTAAGAAGATTGGATAAGGTTTTTCAGAAAATTTGCAAGAAACCTTCAATTAGAGTAAAACGAAATCATATGAAAATAATAAGTTTACATTTGACATATTATTTTGTAGAGGAACATCGACTGGGATGCAGCAGCAGGATTATTAAAGGGACTGTATGAAACAATTTTAATTCATTCATACATTATCCACTGGCAGCACATAAAGGCCTTTATTAATACTTGTCAGGTACATATAAAACTTTTATTGTTTTTCATTCATGAAACTAGAATGGGCTCACTGATTCAAAACTATTTTTCGTTTGAAGGTCTTAATCGTTGGAGAAGGTTGTACAACAGATGGTGGTGTTTCTTCAGCCACAGCAGCGTTAATGAACCAAACTCCGCCCCCGCACTTTTGCTCCATGGTAGTTCGTCTGATTGCAGTACAGATTTTAAATAGCGACGAAATGTATACTCTTGAAAACGTTTGCGGAAATGCACCTTCATCTAGCCATCCGAATCAGGAGAAAACCGAAAACATGATAATGAATCTTATAATGCCCCTCTGCCTGCGAGTTGGAAGCGGTCGAGATGGTAAGTACCTACCTTTTCATTTAAAGTCGTTTATATTACATTTTTTATAGTATAATTTCATTAAGTCATGAGGGTGTTTAAAAAAATGATAAGATTGTTTTGAAATTCTTATATAATGAATATTATAATATTAAGATTTTGAAGTAATCTTTTCGAAATCGTTTGCTGTTCCATCATCATCATAAGGTCATCAGTCTTAAGACTTGTTGGACACGCACCTCCACTCATTCCTATGAGCATTTCCCTAAAACTAGAACAACCCACATCCTTAACTATTTGCGAACAGTAATCTAATCTAGGTCTAACCTAACCTAACCTAACCTAACCTAACCTAACCTAACCTACCTCTACCCCTCCTAACTCCAGTTTCTACCTCTAATATGTCTCTGACTAGACATTCATGCCTGAGAAGGTGTCCTACCAACCTATCTCCCCTATTTCTTATTGACTTCCATTGAGTTCTCTGTTCTCCTATTTTTTCTAATACCTCTTCATTTCTAACCTTTTCTATCCGCGTTATCCTCATCATTCGCCTATAATAGCACATTCCGAACGCTTTTAACCATTTCTTTACCACCGCGCCCACTGTCCATGTTTCGCACCCGTACAACGCCGCACTCCAAACATACTTAAATTGTAATTGTTTTTAATTGTAAAAATTGCTTCATATACATGGGCTCCTATGGTGGTATGATGAGAAAATGTAAATTCCACTCAAAAATGCTTAGATTTTTTTAAAAACTTTTTTTTTGCGATGCTTACACTTTTTGTATTAATATTACAAAAGTATAAAAATCTTCACAATACCATTTGCAAATTATTACTTAAAAAAGAGTTGAAAATGCCGTGAAACCTAACTAACGACCAACGCGAACTTAGAAACATGACAACGCGGCAAGCATTCCATATTATTATTTGACATTTTGTAATATGAACTAATCGCACTGTTATGACTACCAACATAACAGATCTGAACAATTCGCTTGCATTGTGACCAGAATTCGTCACATGATATACGAAAATAAGAAACAAAATTTCACGGATAAATTAATAAATTTCTGAATAGTTTCCGGAAATTAAAGAAAATAGATAATAAAGTTCATCTTTTCTATACATTTTAATTAATGAGTTGTATTTTTATAAACCAGAATTATTTCTTTAGAGTTGACAGTAATCATTCAAGCCGCTTGCCTCTTAGCATTCGGGAGGACGCCGATTCCGGGTCCGCCTGCCTTGTCCAAGTTTTTCTGTGGTTTTCTTGGATCACGCAGGCAAATGCTGGGGCAGGAATATTCCACAAATAATCTTAAATTCTCTTCTGTCTTCATTTCGTCCGTCTCATCTTTCTCACCCGAACCACCACCACCCACACATTCCCACGATTCCTGAAGAGAGACTGAAGAGGGCCTTCCGCCCTACCTTCCGACGCAGTCTAAAGCGACTGCCTGCCTCCCAGCATAACTATGTGGTGGGAATGAAACACCCAAAATTTTTTCTTTTTTTTTTCTGCTTGCCCCGCGTCCCTGTATGACACTGACCAACCACCTTAAACATGTATCTAAGATATTTAGTATTTGAGGAACAATTATTGAAAAATAAAAAAATAATTAGCTGTATTAACCTCGGGAAATAACAGGGTTCTAAAAAGATGTACCTACTGATGGACTAGACGGATTAAGAAAGGTCAACAGATATTAATAAGGTTCATAAGAAGTCTATTCAAATCTAATATCAACGACAATGTATCGTAATAGGCTATTTCATTAGATTCTATTGGATTCCCTGTTCAATTATTATATATTACACTAGATTTTCGCTTCCTTCGCAGAAATTAATATTGCTTCTCAATAAANAGAGATCCTCATTTCGTATCGAATCTCTGAACGAGAGACTCGAGTCGCTCATAGAGAGATCCTCATTTCGTATCGAATCTCTGAACGAGAGACTCGAATCTCTGAACGAGAGACTCGAATCTCTGAACGAGAGACTCGAATCTCTGAAAGGGAGAGTTGAATCTCAGAATTAACAATTTTATCGTTCGAGTCTCTCATATAGAGACTGTGAGAGATCCATAAAAACACCTAGGCAATAACTGAGAGACTGTGAAAGACGCTCTCAGAGACCCTGAAAGACTCTGAGAGACTGGAGAGAGACTGAAAATTTTTGTCAAGGGTTACGATTAAAAAATTCTGTATTTTACAATTACACAAAGATGCTTTGCATTCGCTGTTAGAAATACATTTCAATATTCACTATTCATTTTTGCATAACTTATTGGCGATTGTTTTGTATTGAGTGATTTGGAAAGGATTTCTTTGCCCTTACAATCAACTAAATCTGCACGGACGTGAGACATCGTGGAAATTTGACGCGTCAGCCATTTATATCCCATCTTCCAAGTCGCTCCTCCAAATCAGGATTATGAACAACGGACTTTTGGGATAAATTGTTGGGTAAACTTAGTAAAAATCGCCGAGATGCTTGCTACGACTTTTGCTCCTGGATATCAGAACAGGAGCATCTTCAGCGAAAAACTTCATCCTCTATAATCGAATTATGGTGCATTAAGGCGATCAGACGTCGGCTGTACTAAATGAACTTTGCTAAGAAAGAGAGTTTCTTTTCGATTGAGCAGTGTCTCATAATAATCCTTTTGTAAACCAGCATGACGTTAGTAACGGCATAGTCCAAATCAGGTTGTTACTTAATGATACTTTAGCTTCCATTTAAACTTTCGCTGCCGATATTGAGTTTGAAGACACGTTACCTTCCATCTGAATAATGTCCTTTGTTTTATGCCTTTAATAAAGGCTTCCGTTTATAAATTTGTCCAAAAGTCTTAATTAAAAACAATAGAATCGCTAAAAACAGTTTTCGCCTGTCTTTTCCACTAAGACATCTACGTGAATTATTAGTGTTCAGCAATACCTACAGTTGATAGTGTAATGTTCGTGGGTTTAACAAAATTTACTTCTAAGGGTGATAACGACAAAAACCATTTATTTACACTAATTATTAAAGAACTTAAAACACTATTAAATTATTATTAAGCTTAGGTTATGAATTAATCTATTTATTTACACTAGTGTTGATATATCACTATTCACTGCGCTATTTATTTCACTTCTATCACTGTCAATTTATTTCTGTATTCACTTCTGCAACGGTCAATTTATTTCTACTCTACTCGACGATCGTCTCTTCCTTTAAATACTCTTTTGTTTACTTTCGGGAGCCTTCCCGAATCATCCGGATAGCTTTTTTTCTTTGAGCTATTTAACTGTTTTCCCAGAACGCAGGTACGACACACATTTAAAAATACGGCGCACATGAAGAAAGGCGCCTGCGACTAGTCGGCGAATCTATAGGCCGTCCACGTACACGTATGCCCGATCGCACACAAACACACTCGTGCTCGCTACAATATTTATATAAAACTTTGGTCCTTCCTCCACTATTATATGGGTCCCAGATATGGACACCCTATACCTATACCCAACAAGCTAAACTGAAATTACTGCAGCACAAATTTCTCAGATTCTTTACGTTTAGGCTTAATATATCGATGCCACCTATTGAACATGATTATACCATCGTCCAACTTAGTCACAGGTGTGGAGCGTTGTCAGGGGACATCAAGTGTGATTCTATTATGGTCTTGTTTGAATTTTGAAATAAAAGTTATACCTTCAGAAGTCATAGAGTGATACTTGAAACCAGAGCTACTCAAAATTATGTATTCTATTCAGTTGTATTCCGCCTTAAAAGGCTTTGAAACTTATTGCCTAATGAACTAGCAGAAGCTCATAGCTTGTTTNCTTAAATCGGACCAAAAACAAAAATGTGCCATGCAATCTTTGAAAACTCCTTTCAGCTTTCTTCCTTTAAAATGTTGAAAAAATGTATGTATACCATTAATTTTATATGAAAGAGCATTAAAGACAAGTTTCAAGTAAATCTGATTGCAAACAAAATTTCTAGCATATAAACGTTACAAACCCTTTCCTTCTCCTTCGAATTTTTTAAAATGCTGAAATAGGTGTTTGATTTTATTCCAATGAGCATAAGTATCAAAGTTCATGCAAATCTGAGGCAGTTGAGGTTACCTCGGGGGTGCCAATGATCTTCACGCTGATATTACCACTGCTAAATTACTATTGTTTCCAGCCTTGCGTCTTCCTTTTAATTTTTAAATACTATTGTTTGCTGATGACGCTAAACTTTTTATTAAAGTTACGTCAACCTCGGATTGTCAGGCTGTCCAATTCTGATATCTCTTCCTAAATAACTGGTGTATAAATAATCAATTTACTCACTTTAAATCTCGCTAAATGTGATGTAATTACTTTTACTAGATCTAGAACTCCTATTATATATGACTACAAGCTGCATGGCAAATGTCTTGTTAGAGTTTATGAGATTTCTGATCTAAGTGTTATTTTCAAGTCATCTTTTACTTTTGATAAACATCTTGCTAACGTACTGTCTAGAGCTTTCAGATCATTAGGATTTGATAAAAAACTTGCAAGAACTTTAGTCTTATGCTTATATGCCTTATATATTGTAATGTTCGTGGGTTTAACAAAATTTAATTCTAAGACAGATAACGACAAAAACCATTTATTTACACTAATAGATGGTAAGTACCTACCTTTTCATTTAAAGTCGTTTATATTACATTTTTTATAGTATAATTTCATTAAGTCATGAGGGTGTTTAAAAAAAATGATAAGATTGTTTTGAAATTCTTATATAATGAACATTATAATAATAAGATTATGAAGTAATCTTTTCGAAATCGTTTGCTGTTCCATCATCATCATAAGGTCATCAGTCTTAAGACTTGTTGGACACGCACCTCCACTCATTCCTATGAGCATTTCCCTAAAACTAGAACAACCCACATCCTTAACTATTTGCGAACAGTAATCTAATCTAGGTCTAACCTAACCTAACCTAACCTAACCTAACCTAACCTAACCTACCTCTACCCCTCCTAACTCCAGTTTCTACCTCTAATATGTCTCTGACTAGACATTCATGCCTGAGAAGGTGTCCTACCAACCTATCTCCCCTATTTCTTATTGACTTCCATTGAGTTCTCTGTTCTCCTATTCTTTCTAATACCTCTTCATTTCTAACCTTCTCTATCCACGGTATCCTCATCATTCGCCTNGATAACGACAAAAACCATTTATTTACACTAATTATTAAAGAACTTAAAACACTATTAAATTATTATTAAGCTTAGGTTATGAATTAATCTATTTATTTACACTAGTGTTGATATATCACTATTCACTGCGCTATTTATTTCACTTCTATCACTGTCAATTTATTTCTGTATTCACTTCTGCAACGGTCAATTTATTTCTACTCTACTCGACGATCGTCTCTTCCTTTAAATACTCTTTTGTTTACTTTCGGGAGCCTTCCCGAATCATCCGGATAGCTTTTTTTCTTTGAGCTATTTAACTGTTTTCCCAGAACGCAGGTACGACACACATTTAAAAATACGGCGCACATGAAGAAAGGCGCCTGCGACTAGTCGGCGAATCTATAGGCCGTCCACGTACACGTATGCCCGATCGCACACAAACACACTCGTGCTCCGTACAATATTTATATAAAACTTTGGTCCTTCCTCCACTATTATATGGGTCCCAGATATGGACACCCTATACCTATACCCAGCAAACTAAACTGAAATTACTGCAGCACAAATTTCTCAGATTCTTAGCGTTTAGGCTTAATATACCGATGCCACTTATTGAACATGATTATACCATCGTCCAACTTAGTCACAGGTGTGGAGTGTTGTCAGGGGACATCAAGTGTGATTCTATTATGGTCTTGTTTGAATTTAGAAATAGAAGAAGTCATAGAGTGATCCTTGAAACTAGCGCTACTCAAAATTATGTATTCCTTTCAGTTGTATTCCGCCTTAAAAGGCTTTGAAACTTATTGCCTAATGAACTAGCAGAAGCACATAGATTCTTTGGGTTTAAAAAACATATTGAAGAATATATTAGTTTAGTTTAACCATATTTTAAGTTATTGCACCGCTTAATATATATGTTTTTCTTTTGTTTATAATATTTGTATAGGACCCTTATCCGTTGATCGATTAAAGAAATAAATAAAATTCAAATACTTAAATGAAGTGGATGAACGTTTTACAGCAGGAATTTATGAGAGTTTCATTCGTTTACATTTTGCAAGTTACCCATAGACCAGGCTGCTTTTTGTTGCAGATACAGGTGCTTTAAAAAGGTCCGACATTAGTTTTGCATTAAATTTGGTTCTAAATGCTATTAGCCCACCCAGCACGAAAGCCACAGCGACGGCTGTACAAAACATCAAAGCCGTCACAGAAATAAGGGCTGGGAGTCTCACGTTCACTGGTACACGGGATGCCAAAACTTCTGCAAAAATCAACACTTCACTATACAGAGTTGCTTTTCTTGGTAAGTAAACTACTATTTATCCTTTAGAAATTCTTGATCTAGAAATATATGTACGAATTTGAAATTATCTTACCTGTTACCTATACAGGGTGTTCGATCTAACCTAAAAACATGCGGTTTTGACACTTCGCTTTAACACGAATTACCGTATTTTTCTTGCTAATATGCTCACCTTATTCAGAGCTGGAAATACCGAAACTTACTTCTGGCAATCTTAAAAGACGAACAACTTTTCATTTCCAAATGGAATGACCTATATAAAAAAGTACAGTTCGATGCAAAACTAAAAGCCCTTACTATTGATTAAAGGTTTTAAATATAAAATAATCGATTTTTTCTGGAAAACTGTCACAAAGAATATTTAATTTCTACCAGTAGAAGGAGCTTTTATTTTCGCATCAAACAGTACCTTTTAATATGGATCATTCCATCTGATAAAAAAAAAATTATTCGTCTTGTAAGATTGTCAAAAGTAGGTTTTGATTTTTCTGGCTGTGAATAACGCACACATTTTGTCCAAAGTAAAAACTATACGGTAATTTTTGCTGAAACAAACTGTACAAACCGCATATTTTTAGCTTTTATAGTTTAGAAGCTGTTTGGTCTCATTTAAAGAGCTGAGATTGTGTTTTTTTTAAAAACAGTTGAATATCTGAAAAAACTACTGGAGGTAGGCATAGGAAACTGTTAATAAAGTC